ACGAAATCAAACTATTCTCATGTCATAAACAGTCAAAGCTACTGTGGCAGTAGGGCGCATAGTCGCAGACGGGTCAAATTGTGCTCAAACCCCCTGATGGCCTATTTAGAGATGATTTTTCCTGGGCAGGGGTGCAAGTAGCTGGGCGTTGTGGCTGTTAATGCTGAAATCAAGGCAGGTACAGTTGGAATTGCAAGAGCTCATTGAACCTCCAACCGCTAGGAGCAACCCTGCTCATTGAAATGATATTCAAACCTTTGGGCAGAGTGTTTTCGCAGCGATTGCGCGCAAGCTCCCATCCAGCAGATTCACGACCTGCGCAGGGAAACTACGCGGCGAAACCAGCAAAACTACTGTACGCACCATATACTATAGACTGTAATATTACTTGAATAGACCATGATTTGAACATAGTTGATGATATTCTATAATACCATGCTATAGTTTGCTAAAGTACACCGAAATTGTGGTCACGGGTATCTGAAACTGCCTCCAGGTTCCCGGCCCGGTCACTGAAGAAGAAGCTGTTGCCATCGCCACAAAGTCCAGAAACCATGACGTCCTTCGATCTGGTAAGTTTCGGTAAACTATACGTAGTATATTGTGCTAGACGATGATAACAGTATATAAAAGTATGTTCTAAAGTAGTATTACCCGAATCTCCTACAGCTTTATCGAACAGATCGCGACAATGTATCTGTTCTGAGGGGAGAAACGGGTCCAAGGCACGACGAAAGCTTTGGTCACCCGGTCCTTCCTTAAGCTATCCTGGTCACAATTGAGTAGACGGGAAGATAACCACACCACTACCGCAAAGGTCTGAATGTCCTTGCCTGACATGCACTCTTCTCATCCTACATCCGAAACCCACGTGCAAGCCCCAGACCCGAAACCCTCCTTCGGTGACTTTGGCGTACCCGGCAGCAACTCCATCGTGGCGTATGCCCAGCGGTCGATTTGCCCACAGGACCGGGCGAGGAAGATCGTGGAAGCGTCTGCAGTAAAACCAAGGCTCGAGAAGTACCTTCGAACTGCACAAAACTGCAGCAAAGGAGGCAGTGAAGCATGAAAAGCAACATTAAATCAATCAGTGTTGTTACTTGTATTGTAGTTGTTGTGCCAACAAGTCTCACCAGCTTTGTTATTTAGCTTCCTTTGTGAAAATTTAGCCTCACGATGCCGGCTGCAGCTACGTCTGCTACTCACTACATCAGGTTGTTCACACACTTCTCCTTCAGAAGCCTAAGCGGACCAGCAATGTGCACACGTCTTAAAGGCTCCAGAAAACATCGAAAATCCTTGCAGCCATTGAGATCTGAAGCACGTCGAACCTTTTGGCACCTCAACCGTCCTCGTCTGTCCATCGGAAAGCCGGATCACGGCTACCGTTCCCTCGTGCCGGTACCTTCAGCTCTTTCACTTGTCGGGTGTTATATAAGGCATATCTTCAGGGAGTTCACGATCTATTGACATGTTGGAAAACGATTCACCAAATCAGATGTTTGAGAATGTTCAGGAACCTTTTGGAGCGTGTTTCAAGGCGGCAGTGCCGAAACGGACCCGCAGGTGCAGAGAACCAAGCCGACACTTCGGGCTCTGTCGCTCGAGGCGAACAGGAAGAAAGCTTGAGACACGATGCTGACATAGACATACATCGACTCATCATCCGAGCAGAACTGGATTCTTGCTGTGCTGCAAACTTGCGATGCAAACAATAGTACACAAACACGGGCAGTGCAACCCCGAGAAGTTCAGCAACAAAACAAAACCTGTAGAGATATTCATACTATTGTGTCATAGTCATAGTGTGCCCAATGGATTCAGGAATGATATGTGACCTTTCATGTCAGCTTCGGGAATGTAACGAATAATTAGAAACGGTTTACCAACAGTTGGCATGCTGAGGAATGAACTTTTGTGCTTCCGATCTTTCGAGGTATCGAGGTATCACAACTCACGAAGATGGGTCCGCGGTCTTGCATGTCAAGTTGCACGACTACAATCTCCTTCTCATCCGGCGAGAAAGCTGCGCAGTGCACACTGAGGTCTGAGAAGCTGCGTGGACTGCGACTGCCATCGTGCTCCACTGCCCAGACTGTCAACGGTCCCGTGTAGGCCCTGCAGGCAGAGCAGGTTCGTTGTATGTTGACAGTAATTAGTTTGAGTAGCTAATAGCAGCAGCAGCAGCAGCAGCAGCAGCAGCAGCAGCAGCAGCAGCAGCAGCAGCAGCAGCAGCAGCAACTTCGTCAATGGTATCACGCTCAGCAGGCTCAGCATCAGCACCATCACCCCGAATCACGACCTTATTATCTTCATTATAATAGCACCGTCCGCGCTGGTGTTGCGTGAGCACACCACCCACATGGTTATCGAACCTCAAGGCGCTCAAGGTGCAGTGACGCTGATTCTGTTTGACTGCATCTGAGCCTCATTTACCCAAAATCATAACACGACGCTTCCGGTCACTAAAGTCTTGTGCACGCCCCTGCCCAAACCTTGC